TTTAGTACTAAAATGCTTGCCAGATAGAAGCTAAGGTACACCACTTCTCTGTCGCTGAGAAACTTAAAATCCTGAGCAGACTGTGCTACTTTCTCCAGTTTGCTTATGTGAACCCTGGAGATCCCTAACACCCGGCCTGTAGTGTGTTCATTTAATTCACACATACTCCTTGGGTGCGTGTGGCTCGCAACCATTGTGCAGGCCCTGGAGGGGGCTGGCCCACAGGCGCTCACCGTCTGCCCTACGACCAGGCACAGCCAAAGCTACTTCTGGGTATGAGGAAGATGGGCATGTAACACTTGTTAGTGATCTCTTAGGAAAATGGTCACAGAGTATTAAAACAAGATTCATTAAAAATAGTTAAAAAGAAACCTGCTGGGGCTACCCCCCCCCCAACTTGTAAGTACTTTTTCAAACATGTCAGTTCAGCAGCCTATAAGTTTGTGCGTAGATTTCACTTAAATTCAAACTGGCTTGTCATTCTGATGAGGAGCAGTTACTTTGAGTTAAAAGTACTGAGGATTTAAAGCATTTGTAAGGACTTTGGGTTAAGTAGTTGATAAAGACTCTCCCATACTGCTGTTCAGAGACCTCTGACCCCCTCCAACTTGAAGTGTGGTCTCATGGTTGTGACTAAACTAAATGACACTTGCGTTCCTGAAAATAATGGTACATCTGCAGATTCTTATCCTGAAACATTGGGCCAGGTGTTTATGGTATTCAGAGATTGCAGGTTTTAGAAAGGCGGTGCCGCATAAACCCTGTCTATTTTGTAATGCTCTCAGCAGGATTTGGGGTTAGCACTTATAATACAGCCTATTTCTGCAGTCAAATGATAAATAGGCAACAAAGTGTGATAAAGACTAAATAGCTCGTGTCAGTTTAGGTTTAGACCAGCCGTGGGCAAACTATGGCGCCCGTTTGAAATGAATAAAACTAAAAAAAAAAAAAAGACCGTACCCTTTTATGTAATGATGTTTACTTTGAATTTTTATTAGTTCACACAAACACTCCATCCATGCTTTTGTTCCGGCCCTCCGGTCCAGTTTAAGAACCCATTGTGGCCCTTGAGTCAAAAAGTTTGCCCAACCCTGGTCTAGACCGAGGGCTACAAATATACCAACAAAATAAATCTCAGTTTTCATTTCATTTTTTGGGGAGGAGGGCGCGGTGGAACTGCAGACCAGAAGCACCATCTATTGAGGACCACAGGTGTGGGGGACTCTGCCAGATGCTTTTCATCTGAATTACTCTTCAGAGCAACCTGTGAATCCGGTGTTTCCAGGCCATGACGCAGAGGTTCAGAGGTGTCTAGCCCAGATCTCGGTGCCTCTGAAGCCTGACTCCACCGCACTAAGCAGTCATGTGAAGGCGTTGCCTTTGCTCAGATCTAGGAACTTCCAGCACCCTGCTTCCAGCCGGCACCATGGCTCACCTGTGTCAGCACAGCGGCCTCTACTGGGTCTCCCGACTTCCACTCATGCTCCTCTCCCCTTTCCAAACCCAGCCCCCATACTCTGTTCTCTACATAGCATCAAAGTGCTCATTTAAAACACAAATCCAATCACATCACCTCTCTGCTTAGAACCCTCCCAGAGCTTCCTATTACCATCGGAACAACACCCACAGCCTGACCTGGCCTATAAGGGCTGTGTGCTGTGGCGCCTGCCCACCTCTCCCTCATTTCTTACCCTTATCCCTCGTTCACTGTGCAGCAGTCCTCTTGGCCTTTTTGTTGTCCCTCCAGTTTGTGCTGGTTCATGCTCAGAGTTTCCTCCCCCATATCTTGGTATCTTTCTCATCATTCAGACTTGATTTGACTATTGTCTTTCCTGACTACTGTATCTAACACCACCTCCCTCACATTTCTTCCCCCACCTACCAATTCACCCTCTATTCTGTAGCCCTCATTAATTCTATCACAGCACTTCCGGCCATCTAGTCATCATGATATCCACTCCTGTTATTTGTTTCTGCACGTGGTCGTTTTCTTTCTTCCTTCAGTGGAATGCAGGTGGGGACTTGCTCTCTCTTCTTCATGCCTGTGCACTCAGTGTCAGCACAGTGCTTGACATTTGATAAGTGTTTACTGAATGAATGAAGAAAGGATGCCAGGAAATAGCTGGTGAAGAAAAGGAAGAAGATGAGGAGGTTTAAAGTGAAGTTTTTAAATTTTTTATATGTTTTTATTGATGTTAGAGAGAGAAAGGAAGAGGGAGAGGGAGAAACATCAATGTGAGAGAAAGATCGGCCAACTGCGTCCTGCACGTCCCCCAGGCATGTGCCCTGACCAGGAATGTGCTTAATACCCAAGAATGGTACACTTAAAAATGGTTAAAAGGGTAAATTTCTTGTTATGTGTATTTTACCACAATGGGGGGGGAAAAGTTAAAAAAAAAAAAAGCACAGTGGCTTGCAGGGTAGAGAAGGAATTTCAGTGGCTATGAGGAACTGGTTCTGAGGTCCTGGCAGCAATCCAGGAGTAAGATGGTGGCTTGAACCAGAACAGTGGCTATGATATCATGAAGAAGTAGGATTTGTGAGTCAGGACTTTGTTATGGATAAGAAAGTAGGGAAAAGAAATGTCAGCAATGCCTCCCAGATTCATGGCTTTCAGACATAGTGGAGTCATTTTTTGAGACAGGAAATTCCAAACCAGCTTAAGGGAAGATCATATGTGCAGTTTTGGATCTTTTCGTTTAAAATTCTTTCATTCAAGTGGAGATGTTGACTATAGAGAGATGAAATTCAGAGAGAGGTTTATAAGTGATATGTAAATTTTAGAGTTAATGACAAACAGATTATCATGGAAATCATGGACATGAAAGAAATCACCTTGAGAAAGTAGAGAGTAAAGAGAATAGGGTCTTTGGACCAAGCCTTGGGGGAATGCCAGCCTATAGAGCCCATGAAGATCAATAAGTGTTAGGAAGAAAGCTTGACCATTGAAGAAGAAAAATCAAAAGAGCTTTCCAACAAGAAATGAGAGATGAACAAGGTCAGCTTCCTTTCTCTGTCGATTTACCTATTCTGGATGTTTCATATAAATGAAGTCATACAATAGGTGGCCTTTTGTGTCAAGTATTTTTATTTATCATGTCTTCAAGGTTTATCCATGTTGTAGCATGTTTCTACACTTCATTTCTTTTTATGATTGAATAAGTTTCCATGTTTGAATATGCCCAATTTTGTTACAAATTTATCAGTTGATGGACATTTGGTCTGTTTTCACTTTTTGGCTATCATGAGCAGTGTTACTATGAACATTCCTATATAAGTATTTGTTTGAAAACCTGTTTTTCAGGTCTTTGGGTATAGGCCTAGGAGTGAAATTGCTGGGTCTAAGCTTAACTTTTTGAGGAAATAGCAATTCTTTTCCATAGAAGCTGCACGGTTTTGCACTCCCATCAGCAACATAGGATGGTTCCGATTGCTCTACATCCTCATCAACACTTTTATTTTCTGTATCATTATTGCTAGTATTGTCATTCTGGTGGGTATGAAGTGGAACCCAGTTGTGTTTTGATTTGCATTTCTCCAGTGACCAATGATGTTGAGCATCTTTTTATGTGCTTGTTGGCATCTATAAATCTTCTTTAGAGAAATGTCTGTTCCAGTCCTGTGCTTACTTTTTGATTGGGTTGTCATTTTGTTAAGTTATGAGTTCTTTATATATTCTGGGTAATAGACCCATATTACATATATGATTTTTAAATATCCCATTCTGCAGATTGTCTTTTTATTTTTGTTATAGTGTCCTTCAGGACACAATTTTTTTTTTTTTAATTTTGAGGAAGCCTAATTTACCTGGTTTTCTTTTGTTGCTTGTGCTTTTTTTTTTTAATCACCACAAAGATTCTATTCAAAAAGCCAAGGTTAGGAAGATTTACCCTTATGTTTTCTTCTAAGAATTTTATAGTTTTGGCTCTTATACTAAGGTTCTACATCCTTTTGATTTTGTTCATTATTTAAATCATTGCTACTGAATTAGTTCAGTGTGGCCCATAAACTGGGGTCATAATTTACCTAGGTAAATTGCCCTCACATAGATTTCTGCAAATTTCAAAGGGAGAATTTTTGGGATTTCATAGGAGCATCTATTTCCATATAGCTAAATCCTTTATGGTTCAATAAACATCACTTTATTTTTATTTTTTAAATATATTTTTATTGATTTCAGAGAGGGAGGAGAGGGAGAGAGAGATAAAACCAATGATGAGAGCAAATCATTGATTGGCTGCCTCCTGCATGCCCCACCCTGGGGATTGAGCCTGCAAACTGGGCATGTGCCCCGACTGGAATCGAACCTGTGACCTCCTGGTTCACAGTTTGACGCTCAACCACTGAGCCACACCGGCTGGGCAATAAACATCACTTTATATATATAACACCTCTAAAACAACAACAAAACACCTCAACCTTTTTCTTCTAACATTAAGAATTCTAATTGCACTTCTACAGCCTTTTTACCTTCTCAAGCAGGTAGACGAATTTGCGCTTGACACTCAATGGAAGCAGAGAGCAGCGTTAAAGAGACAGGCCCCTTCCTTTTATTGGCCAGTTGAGTTTTGAAAGTAGAAAATTTTGGAGAAATTCACTTGATTTTGCAGTCCCTGAGAGAGAATAAAAGATTTTTAAAGAAAGTTTTCTCTGGATTTATGTATGACTGAGATGAATCATATATAGTAAATTCTTACTCCATTTTGTTTTCTAAACAGGATTGGGAAAATCCGATTAAATATGTTCTGTGGGTATCACTTCTTCCAAACATTCCTTGTATTGTAGGTCACTGGAAGAAGAAATGGCTGATGATCTTTCAGTAGGTTTCTACATAGGAGAACTTAACAAATACTGTCAGAAGAACAACATAGATGTTAATTATCGTGAAGTGTCTAAGACAGGACCTCCACATGACTTAAGGTAAGATTCTATTTAGAAAAAGGATATATACCTATAAAATATAAACTAGGGGAATGAAACTCTGGCATAATTTTGAGGTCAATACTTAGAGTAAAATTGCCACAGACTTCTGTGAGAGAGTCCTCTTGGTATGAAATTGTAGCTTTGGAGGACTCTGGAGAAAAAAAGAGGGTATAAGCTTTCCCATCCTTCAAGATGATATGCTATTCTGCTTTTGGAGGTCACTGCTTAAATATTGAACATAGGTCAAAACCTTCAAAGGTAGACATAAGAGGCACTGGTGGTTGGAATACTTGTCTCTCGATAATGCATGAGTTTCATAATGTTTTGTGAATATTTTCTTTGTAATCAGGTTTACAATTCAAGTTATATTAGATGGGAGAGAATTTCCAGAAGCTAAAGGCAAATCAAAGAAGGAAGCAAAAAATGCTGCAGCCAAATTAACTCTTGAAAAACTTAAAGAAGAACGGGTGAGTAATTGCCTTTTTTCCCCTAGTGAAAAGGGACTCACAATATAGTTTATATTTTTCTCTGTGAGAAAATACCGACATAAAAAAAAAAAATCCATTGGCAAGTTCCCTTACATTCACAAGTTCAGTTCATTGTTTTCCCTGTCTCCATTTCTGTAGAACCTGAAAGAAAGGTACACCTAGGCCCCAGCTGGTTTGGCTCAGTGGATAGAGCATTGGCCTGCGGACTGAAGAGTCCCAGGATGGATTCCAGTCAAGGGCACATGCCCAATTGCGGGCTCGATCCCCAGTAGGGGTTGTGCAGGAGGCAGCCGATCAATGATTCTCTCTCATCATTGATGTTTCTCTCTCTCTCCCCCTCTCCCTTCCTATCTGAAACCAATAAAAATATATTTTAAAAAAAGGAAGAAAGGTACACCTAGTAAATAGTGGTCAAAGCTGGATAATACCTGTTTAGAATGCCCATAGTAGTGACATCCTCTAAAGTTGAACAGATGTGGAAAGGAAACAGGGAGAAATGAGCTGACAGGTGCTGGTGGAAGTCCCTCCACTTAATTGAGGGAATCCGTGGAAAAGGACAAAGAGATGAAGGGGTTTGTGTGGAGAGGGATGTACGTGGAGGGCAGGTAATGGAGAACCAACATACATATAATTGGCAGTCCTGAAGATGAGAACAGAGTGACCAGTACAGAAAACGCTACCTGGAAAGATTTCAGTAGAAAAAAAATTTTTTTAAATATATTTTTAGAGGAAGGGAAAGGGAGAGAGAGATAGAAACATCAATGATGAGAATCATTGATCGGCTGCCTCCTGCACGCCCTATACTGGAGACCAAGCCTGCAATCCAGGCATGTGCCCTTGACTGGAATCAAACCCGGGACCCTTCATTCTGCAGTCTGATGCTCTATCCACTAAGCCAAACCAGCTAGAGCTAGAAAATATTTCTGAAATAGAGAAATAACTGGGTGAAGATTAAAATAACGGGTATAGGAAAATACAGAACCAAATTAACTCTTGAAATACTTAAAGAAAAACAGGTGAGTAATTGCAACTTCAGTCATTGTGAAAGTACGGAGTTCTAGTGATGAAGAAAGAATCCTCAAGCAGGCAGAAGAAAGAAGTTATGTAAAATGTAAAAATAAAAAAAAAAGCGCAACATTAAAAACCAGGATATAAGGGAC